CGGAGTCTGATGTGACTTTTCCTTTCCTTGGTGATCGATGGAGGGGAACAAATAGGGCTAGAGACTGAGACGGAGACGGCGACAGAGACGGAGATGGGGATCAATGCCCATGACAGACTCTGTGCTGTCTATCAAGGCCTCCAAGCCGGTGAAGACTGAGAGAGAGGCATCAATGACCGACCGACTTGGCCTGATGGTAAGAGATGTCCTGCTGCCATTTCCGCATTTGAGGTATACTTCATCCCTTCGCTGCTACCTCGGAGTTTCATTTCCACAAACAAGACCTACGTTTTCCTTGACCAGCAACTATCCGATCATCGAAAGCATCTCCAGCTCCTTGAATTCTCTCTCCTTGAGCATACGGCCCGCAAACTAGCCACTATCCTCGTAGATCACGTCTCAGAGGGTGGCATTCTCCCTCGTCAATGTTCAAGTGCCAAGCGGAGCTGTGGGCGATGAGCAGTATCTTTCAGCTTCACACCCAAGTATCAAATGGATCCACAATTCCTCAGCGGATGTTTTGAGCTTGAGTGTGGCGGTGGACCGGAAAGTCAAAAGTGTGGTCTCATCTTCGGGCTCCCTTCATACTCGTATGTTCGATAAATCATGAAATGGGAGACGTGGGTCTGCGTGAGGACTGTCGAGGGCAAAAGGGGTCTCTGTCCTATCACAGACTTTTCAGTATATTGGTGGAGGAAGTCGAGAGGGCCAATCGAATTTATCACAGCGAACAGCAGTGCCAGTGTCTGAAATGGAGAACATGTTAAACATGCTGATTTCCCAACGATGTTACCAGCGAATGGTGCTATGCAACACTCAATCTCGAGAATCATCCAAAGCGGTTACGGTGAGGGACTGTTCATGCGTTTCAGGATTTTGGAAAGTTCAGATTAGATTGAGATGAAATATAAATTGACGCCGGACTGCGATGTCAATATCATTGGAGCTGAGTTTTGGGATGAAAGCAATTCATCACTTTGATGTCTGAAGAACCTGCATGATGTCTACGAGAACCCCCCAAGTTCATTCAGCATTCCCTGGTCGCTGGCCTATTAAATCTGCACCCTTCTATTTCTAGGCGACGGGGAGAAGTTTCCCAAAGCTTGAATCGGATCTGTCTTGGAAAGTTTCCGACCGCCTGTATATGTCATCTGAATGTGTGAGCTACAGAATCAGAAGCGCGGTGACAGGTGCAGAAACCACCCAATATCGTCTCCCCACCGCAAATTCCCCGCCCATTGAGCAACCTGCCAAGGCTGCGGACATGGGAAGGGAAATAGTGGTAATCCTCGTCAATTGGCCCGCGCTCTTGGCTTGATGATCATCAGCTTTGGGTCTGCTGGTGGGCGTGAAGGGAGTTCTTTGACTCAGCCCTTCCCGAGAAGCTTTCGAAGGGTGACTTCGATTGCTTTCAGTTTTTCAGCAATTGCAAGCCAATCTTGGGTTCCGAATTCGATTTGTGCATAGGAACCGTTCGTTCCGCTCTTCGCGCTATCGATTTTCAATCCATCTTCCCCAAGCTTCTTGGCAAGTAACGGGCTTCTCAGCGCGCGGTGCGATTGTCTTCGCTGTTCGACCATACGCATTTCCCTGTACATGATCTTGCAGTCAAACTTGTTGAAATTGGATGCGGTCCCTTTGCTCGGCTCTTCAAGAACTTCGATGAAGTCAGCTCACCTTCGCTCTCACCTTCACTCTCATTCTCACTCTCATCCTCACTCTCACTCTCACCCTCACTCTCACCCTCACTCTCACCCTCACTCTCACCCTCACTCTCACCCTCACTCTCACCCTCACTCTCACCCTCCCTCTCACCCTCACTCTCACCCTCACTCTCACCCTCACTCTCACCCTCACTCTCACCCTCACTCTCACACTCATCTTCACACTCATCTTCACACTCATTTTCGCATTCACCTTCGCATTCATCTTCACCCTCATCACCCGTCGCAACCTGTTTCCAGGCCAATGCCAAGTTCAACGCACGTTTTGTTTTCCACCTTGTCTAGGAACTCGCTTTCATGGAGCAGCAGCGAAGTGGGATCGTCTTCGTCCCGTCGCATGAAAACTTCCACGTCTTGAACGCTCTCCGTGTGAATTGATCGATGCATAAAGACGTTCATATCAGTCATGCGAAGCGAGCCTAGGAGGGTATAAAGAGACATGAACAGATGCGGAGAACTATTTCACGGGCTCCTAACAGCAGCAGCAGCAACAAGAACATGGCAGGCGAGAAGCTGTAGAACACAGCATCGCCACCAAATGCAGCCCAGTTCCAGGCCAAAGCCAAGATCAAACTTCAGCTTCGGCCCTGGGATAAGACCTGGACACAGATTCCCAGGTTCATGCCCAAGTTCCAGGGAAATGAATGCGCGGAGAGGGACCAAGGTCCCACACCCAAGCACCGTGGATTGCAGGAGTTGGGCATTCCAAGTTGCGTGGTGATGCATGGGTCTATCTCCAGTGATCCGGAATAGGATGGGGTGGAGAGAGGTTGACGTGGTTCAGACGTGAGTCGCCAAGGGCAATGGTATCCCATCTGTAGCCCTAACATCTGCTGAGGTCACCGCAACCATTCCATTGACCTGGATGAGGCCTTCACCAAAGGCAGAGGGATCTCAACCGAGTAGGGGTGCAAGTGATGCTCGGCAGTCACCTCAATTTGAACATGAAACCAAACAAGGCATACTTCCTGATTCCAATTGAACGACCACGGGAGCCTCGGAACCGCGGCTCGGGGCTTCGCAATCCTGGGGGCAAACGGCCCTTGCAGTGGAACATTCTGCTCAGGACGGAGGAAAAGGGACATCATCCGTGGGGTTAATGGAAATGGCTGCAGTGCCAGAGAGGTGATTGATTGATGGTGAGATAGTGTTCCTCGAGCAAACAAATCTGCTCAACTGTTCCTCTGGAATTGTCATCTGCCTCGCCACCGTCGCTGCTGAAAGAGTCATCAGGGGCACAAGTGTGAACCTGGACCGAACGTCCGCGTCGCCAGTAGCAGAGGGAGTCAGTCAGAGCGCGCATGCTCTAAGTCAAAATCACGCATGACCCTTGGCGAGCAAGCCAAGCCGCACTGGCGGTAAATGGTATCTGAACGAGCTGGCTTGTGTCGGGGGTCGGGGAGCAGTTTGGTAGGTGGCATACATCAGTTATCCAGAGAACGGATCTGCAGAAGCCGACATCCAGGAAGCTCTCCTGTAGAGCAATACAAACTCATGCGTTTGTGGATTGGAGAATGCCGGATGGGCTGTGGGAGATTAAGCACTGTAAACGTGGCTGACGAGTGACAGTAGGCATGAAGAGAATGGCAGTGGGATATGCGACGATGGGAAAGTTGCAAGGGAAGCTGTCTTCGGACACAGCGATGACGAGCCAGTAGGTGCAGGACAATAAGGAAAATCATTGACGGGCGGGCTCTCCCTCACGAAGCAAGTTATGCCGACAACACATCGGTCCTCGACTCGATGCCGCGTAGAGAACAGAAAGGGTGTCGTGGAGATATTTGGGATGGTGGCTGGTCTTGACGGGGGCATGGTCCCTGCCAACTCGGCCTTGCGTGGAGGTGGGAGTGTCGAGCTTATGGACTCGTGTTGACAATGATGGCGCGGGTCGTCAGAAGTTTGCATTCGGAACATGCCGTCGATGGAGAGACATCGGCTCTCGACCCGTGCCCGTGGAGGCTCGGAGGCCAGGAGGCCTGGAGTGGCAAGGAGGAGCTATTCGGGATATTGATTCGAGGCGTAGGTATTCATTCGGGACGACGAGGGCATTGCATTGGACCCAGGCGGTCTGTTTGTATAGATATACCTTTTGACAGTGGAAGTGGCAGCCGTGCACAAAATGCAGAGCACACGAGTTAACAGGGACCATGACCTCTGAACATGGTTTCGATGCGACGAGAGGACGGCGAGCAAAGAGAAAACACCGGCTGCTGACTTTGGCCCGTCCCTGTGCTTGCGGTGGGGATTGCAGTGATCAATGCTGGAACACTCGCGTTAGGGCTATGGCGGGCTTGGTTTGAGGTTGTGAATGTCTGGTGCAGCGTCGTTGGAAAGGAGAGGAGAAGTTGGACGAAAGTTCCAAAGGCAATTGATTGACACCCTTGCCAGACACGCCCCGCAGTCGCTGATCATTGTCCCCGAGAATAATCGGAGCGAGGCGAAGGGACTCAGACACACGCGCCCCGGAGATCGTTGAGGGATGGAACCGAAAAGAGGTGGGCTCCAACCCAGCATCATATGGCGAAGACGCGTGAGAAGAAGGTAAGTCCTATGTGGCCATGTTCTGAAACCGCGCGTAGTTCAGCCCAACCACGACCTAGCGCGGGAGGAGATGGCTGCAAGCCTTCAAGTTGGGTCTCCGTAAACTCCTCGCAGTCTCCCGGGCACCCACCACCTCGAGAAAAACAACAGCGAACGTCCAAGCTTGAGCCCGGGATGTAGGACTACAACTGGTTCCAGAGCACTTGGATAAGGATGGTATTGGCCGGTATCTCGTCAATCGCCGCCGGGGACACGGAATGGCGGACGAGCCGGAGGACCATCGCTTCGCAGCGTTGCTGGACGAGAGCCTTTATGGCATCAGACGACAGGGTGGGGAGATTGTATCTGCTTGGCACGCCCGACAGCAAGCTGTCTATTCTACAAGCCCGCCTGTTATGTCTGCCTCTCGGCATACATGGTTTCTGCGCCTCGTACTTGTGCCCGACTTCTCGCATGGCTGCGCCGACGTTCCAGCTCGAGCTTGGTGTCATTCCCCTGGCGAGGAACAACTGACGCACGATAACCGGTGTGCGGCGAGAGCAGAAACCGCGAAGGAAGGCGTTGATCCCCACCCGCTCAAAACGATCCCATATAGTAGTCCCCCTTCTTGGCATGCCGCTCGAGTGGCGTGAGCGTCCGATGCTTGGAGAGACCAGACGTGGTCGGCTCGACTTGTGATTTCGGGGCGGCCGGCGGCGGGTGCGGGATCCGAACGTCGGAGCAGACTTCTCTCCATCAAGAGCGGGGTGTCGGGGCATCTTTAGATCTCGATGTTGAGGAAAACAACCAATTGTCGGAGTAGAGTGGAAAGTGTGTGGCACGGTCGATGACGAGTTCGACGATGTTTTCGCCATGAGGGCGTTGCGGCGGTCGGGGTGTTGTGGGCGAAACGTCCTCCTCGACCAAGTATCCAAATTGACCTGCAATGCAGCTCCTGGACTTGTCTGTGGCTTTGTCGTAGTCGTGCTCGGCATGAGCAGTGCTTGCGCGAGCGATGGAGAGGCAATGCAAATCGGGAATCTCGGGGATGGGGGGGATTTCGTTGGTAACTGCGATCGTGGCCAGGAGCAGCGAGTCCGCTCGGAAGGTGCCTTGGTGGCTTGGTGGGGCATCAGCCTGCTGCATCGGTTGCACATCGTACAGCTGGATCATCTGGGGGACGGCATGGGAAGCATCTTGCTTGCTCTGGAGTTGAGGTTCCGAACGGTACTCGGGCTCGGGCTGGAGCTCTGTGTGCGCGGCAGCAGGGTGTCGGATGGCTGCGTCGGTCGCGTCGAGGGAGTGATCGGCGGGGGGGACGACGTCGTGGGGCAGGCTCTCGGCCACAGAGAAGACAAAGAAAGACAAGAGATCGGTTCCGGTGTCGTGGAGCTGCACGTGTGGCCTGAAAACCTTGGGGATCATTGGATATCCTCATCGTCGGGGTCATCCTGATGCAGCTCGATAGACGTGGTGGTGGTGCGCGTCCATCGCAAGACTGCGTTGCATGAACAATTGATGAAGCCATTCGGGTGGAAAGCACTCGCTGCGCATGGCAAGGCCCTGCAGTGGAAGCAGTGCCCTCTGTGCTGGGCAGCCGACTTCAACAGAAAGAGACATCGTCGGGGTCGAGGCTTGAGGGCAGGAGCCAGCACTTGATGATTACATAACATTAGTGTTCTGGCGAAAAATAGCCAGATCGCTCAAGTGACGTAGCGTTCTGGCTTTTTTTCAGCCAGCACGCTACCTCAATATGACATCATCCCAGGTACGTATCTAAGGTGGTCCCTGCACCTGTCAAAGTCCTAGGGTCTGTCTGGTTGCGCGACCCGGTGACAGCAATTGAAGTCCCCTGCACTCCCGAAAAGTCGCTGCGTCTCTGCATAGACTTTCCTTGGTGCATCTCGCTTGCTTGGCCGGGTGCGCGAAGTGAAGCCGTTGTTCAGTGGTTGGCAGCGACGCAACTGGTCAAGTCCCCGTGAAGCTGACGATGGTGGCTTTGCGAAAATATCCGTATGAACCGAGGATTCTCTCAGCATGGGAAACTCCTCTGTGAGTAGCAGCTGGACAGAGGACTGCAGCGTTCAATGAGAAATCCCCACGCGACAAGGGACTTTGGTGTTTCCCAGCTTGGGGAGTCATGATGGGTGAGCGTGGCCCTCGTCGATTCCTGGAGGTGAGTCTGCCACAACGCCCCGTGTACCTTGGTGGTCTGGCGGCGAACATAAAAAGCCAGAACGCTTCAGTGACGTAGTGTTCTGGCAGAAAAAAAGCCAGAACGCTACGTCACTCAAGTGCTGGCGGCAGGTCCGAACCAGCACGGTTGAATCTCGGGCATGACGCCTGCCGGCCACTTTCTCGCGAACTTCCACAGGTGCTGAGGGCATCACGACCAAGGCTCCAATGGCCTCTCCGTCTACCAAGGACCAAGGCTGGGAGAAAATGACCGACAAGGGCTGCGGTTCTTTGGAGTCGGCACAACTTCAGCACCAGCCCTCAACAAACCCGAACGGCGCGATGGACAGCGTCGAGCCGCATCACCCCCGACACTCAGTGGATGAGCGACCTCGCCTGCAGCACTGCACCAGCGCGATCATCCTCTTGCGCGCAGCCAAGGAAAACTCCAATGGTCGCATGTTGTGATCGCATAGATTGTTTCATGATCAAGCAATGTAGAGAAATCGTCCGCCATCGTGGAGGCTTCGTGATGATCGACGTTGAATGTGCATCGGACGCGTCGACCACAGCCAAACGTGAAGGTACAGAAAGCCAACCAGATGTGTGGAACCCCATCCCCAGTTTTGCAGCCAATCATGTGTGTGGAACCCCCGGTCCACTCTAGGAGGCTCCACAGGTCTAATTGGCCGTCTAAGGCGGAAGGGGGTTCCACACATCTCATTGGCTCTAGGCATCTTATCAATGCTACCGCTGCTGGTGCTGTTATTCCACGCTCGCAGCCATCGTCAGAGCGCGGAGTATGAACTTGCGCCGCAGTGCTCTAAAGCCTGAAGATGCTCTGAGTAGTGGGGGCATGTTTCCGGGCGGGGCAGAAATGAATGTGACGATTTCCCCACCGAGGACCGTCACATTTGAATCCTCTTCGCGCACCAAGGCAGGACCAGGTGTTGCAGGCCTGCGCAGGCGTCAGGGCTGTGGGTAGCCGCAAGTCAGCTACCGACAGGTCTCTGGGTAGCCGAAAGTCAGCTACCCACAGGCTTCTGGGTAGCTTCAAGTCGGCTACCCAGACCGGGATCCCATACCTACGATTGGCCCGCTCAGCACCCAGCACTGCCGCCCGTCACAACACTGCACTGAACGGCACCAACAACGAGACCACGCTGTCCATCCCTCGACCGGCGCAAGATGGACAATTCACATGCCTCGTGTGCGTGATTGGACAAACGACCGCCTGCCTACTGGCTTAGCCCATCAAATGCGACATGCCAGAGATCCGGCGGCCTGGCAAACCGCCTCGTCACAACCACGATTCAGCGCTCTCATCTGCATCATCACGAAGCAACGGATTCGGACCTCACCGTCTTGACTCCGGCGTGGGCAGTGCCGGGTTCCGACTTTGAAACCACTGCAGCGCCGCCCGGAAAACATCTCACAAAAGGCGTTGAAAGTAGCAAGTGTAAGCAAGTCCAATGTCCTGGTTTTTAGGGACATCGAGTTCAATGTTCCGTTTTCTACAAAGGTGCCGCCCCGTCCCCTTCCGCACTCGTCCAGTTGCGACTGCGCGGCCCCAAAGTATCGGCAACACCACGCCTGTCACTTGTGACGAAGTTGTCCCCTTCCTCCCCGCGCAACATCCCGCATCCCCCTCTAAGTGACCACGCCACTTCTTCAGCGGTGCTGCAACAGGCCCTTCCAGCACCTCTTCCGACAGCGTCGGAGAGACCACGCATCTCTTCGATCCCGTCACTAAGGGAGATGATGAGCAGCCCCCCGGTGCAGACACGCGCAGACTTGGGGTATATCTACGATCTATTTAGAGGGGGGATGACTCCAAGAGCAAAAGTCGGCGAATATGCGCGTGATTGAGCAGCACCGGTTCACCTCGAAATGCCTCCCGGGCACACCAGCCACTTTCATCGGTCTCACGGATGACGCCCCTGATGGGTGCCGTGCTAGACATCCTACTGCGGAGTGTGGTGCTGAGCAGGGTGGGCGGAGGCGCGCGGCCCTGAAGCAGGCGTTGGCGGATTTCCAGAGTGCAGGATTCTGGGCGAGCCTGCGAGGACTGCGACGCAGATGCCGCAGACGTACGGTTGAAGCAGCCAAAGTTGTTACAGGTGCACAGGATGCTCGGACGCAGGGAGATCAACGTGCCCCTGATGCTGTGCCCTGGTAGCAATAGCTGGATGGAGTTGCGACTGTAGCTGTGCGACCTTGGGGCAGAGACAAGTCAGCCCACTTGCCCGCTGTCTGCGATCGTCACCTTGCGTCCCTTCACAGTCGGCGCCCGACGCCATCGTACGTAGAGTACCGTCGCAAAGACATTGTGTAAGCGCAAGCTCTCGAGTGGCCTTGTTATCCTCCTTCACGGCTCCCGCGGGCTTGTAAAAGGCCGTGTCGCATCATCGCTGTCTGTACCGTCCTTGGAATATTCTTGTTCGCGTTCCGGCGTTACTTGCTTCGGAAGGCGCTGGTTCAGCTGATTGATGGTTAGTCGTTGTGAAGGCGGAGTTGAGCGCGTCCTCCACTCGAATCGACCCATATCCAATCTTCGGATGACCGGCTCCGAGCAGCAGGAGGTGGCTGCCGTTCCATCAACTCATCTAATGTCAGCTTGGGTCGGCGCGCGAGCGGTTCGGCGTTGACATGTGCGGCCTGCGCGCGTTTCGCAGGTCTCTCGGGTTGTCGCGAGGCCATCTCCGCGGCTTTTTGTCTGAATTTGATGAACTTTTCCTCGTTCAACCCCAGCAATGTCTCCAGTCTGAGGAAGATTTCGTCGGGATCCTCCGTGTCGTTCTCGTTCTGGTCATCGTTGCCGGCTGGTTCCTCGCAGTAGTCGGCATTCCGTAAATCGTAAAACTCCACGAGGTATGCCAGCATTTCTCGACGTTGGGGTGTTAGTGGATCCCTGAGCTGATAAAACTGATTCGCATTCCGTGGAAACAACTTGCGGTTGGGAAAGACCACGCCTTGGCCAGGACGGTATACGGGAGGAGGACGGATGGGGGCGTTTGGGTTCCTCAACGCGCTGTTTCGCATGAATGCTTGGGTCTGGCCAACTTCGGCTCGAAGTTCGCAGACATCGGTCTTGAGTTGGGTGAGGTCGGTATTGGTTTTGTTGATGTCGGCTCTGAGGTCGTGGACGGTGTTCTTGATCTCCTGCATGTTACCGTACATGATCTCCTGCATGTTACCATACACCTCTTCCCGGAGGAACTGCACGGATTCACGAAAACCCGCGAACACCATGTTGAGCTGATCGTCTTGCCGGTTTCGCAGGTCCACGAACTCGTCGCGCGAGAGCCACTGCCCCCAGGCGAAAATTGAGGCCATCGTGGAGACTTGGGTTTAGAGATACATGCGTTGTTGTTGTGGCGGTTCGCAAAGGTGGTCGCCGTGTGGTGGTTGCAGAAGGCGGGAATGGACTCGCACCGGGAAGTCGAGGCGAAACGAGTACTCAGGGTATTAATCAATCGGGCATATGGCCAGGCACCAGCAGCTCAAGGAGCGAGTGAGTTATAATGTGCGTGAAGTGGCTTGATTAATCTAGCTATGAGCGCCAGGCGCGCCTAGCTATAAAGTAGTATAGCTAACCCCTTATATAAAGGTAGGATTTAAGCTAGGATTTAGGCCTTAGGTTTAGGCCTAGTTAACTATTATCTTATACCCCCCTTTTAGCTAATACTATTAATATTCTTTATAAAACTATTTCTATCCTAAAATAATAATTAAATTAATTATATAACTATTAACTTTATTTTTAGTTATTTCTTTTATATCTTCTTTTTTATATTAACTTTATTATCTTATTTTATTTCTTAAAATACTTTTAACTTTTAACTTTTAATTATATATTAATTATAATATAGAACTTTTATTAACTTTAAAGTAACTTTAATATAAATTTAAACTATATAATTTAATAGTTTAGCTACTTTTAAATTATATAAATTTAGATTAAAAAAACTAATAACTTAACTTTAAAGTTTTAAATTTAAATTAAACTTATAATAATTAAGTTTAGTTAACTTTTTAATATTAGTTAAATAATATAGGTTTTATATTCTATAGTTAAGTTTAATACCTTAAAATAAGTAGAGTTTATAGATTCTTATAAGAGTTAGTTCTAAGATATATTAATATTTTATATAAACTTAATTAACTAAGATAATTATTAGAAGATACTATAAAGTTTAGTTCTCTTTTTATTTTTATTTTAACTTATACTTTTAAAATCTAATTAAAATTAAGTAAATTAAACTTAAACTTATATCTCTTTTAGTAGTTAGTATTATTATATTTTTAATATAGATAAATATTAACTAAGATATCTAATTTAGT